ACTGCTCCATAGACCTTAACAGGTAGTCGGAACATTCAAGGTTTCGCCCTGATTCGAACAGTCATGTTTTTTTGTTCAGATAAGGGGCGGATCTGAGATTTTCTCGACGGGGTGGATTTTAAAAACTTTTTGAAAATTTTGTCGACCTTTTTTTGGTCGACCAACCTGAATTTCCGAGCGGTCGCAGAACACTATAAAAACGTAAATAACCATTTGGACAAAAATTCAGCGCGGCAGGCATATTTTTGAAAAAACAGGTCAAAAAAGCCGCTTTTGGTCCTTTTTTGATAAATTTTGACAAGAAAACACGTTTTTTTTTTGGCGCGCGCTCCTCTTCAAAATTAGTTGAAACTGGCGCCTAAGGGCCGAAAATAGAAATCTTAAAAAACACCAAAGGGTGACCCTTTGGGTCGTCAAATTCAAATGTCTGCGGAAAGAGAGCAGCCGCCCCCGCGGCGCCCACCCCCTAAATCCACCCCTGGTTCAGAATGTTTTTGCGGAACGCAATAATAGTTTTGAACAAAAATTCTCATTACGCCAATGAAGATATCGAAATCACGAAATTTAAATCAGAGAGCTTTTTCAAATGGGATTGTTTTTGATTTATGTGACTTAAATACGTGACTTAAAAAAGAGACTCGGGGTGTGACTTAATTAATCTGTGTTTAAAAACCTTTTTTTAACGAATTGAATCTATGTTGGTCAAAGTATAATGTAGGATTCTCCGGGTAGTTTTAATTAAAAGCCAAAAAATGCCTTCAAGGTTATACTGGGACCAAACTGAAAAGAGAAGGATTCAGTTCGTCTTATTGTTGGTCATCCTTCCATTTTTGAACCTATTTTTTCAACCTCCAGATGATTTTAGCAAAATGCACGAAAAAAATGTTTGTCGACCTATTTTGCCAAAATTTTTGGTATTATGTCGAATAATTGTTTTGGCGTCTGCTGAATTTTCCCACCTACGTTTCGCATGTCTGCTGAATTTTCCCACTGTCGTTTCGCATTTACAGTCTGCTGAATTTTCCCACTGTCGTTTCGCATTTACAGTCGTTTCGCATGTCTTCATGTGCATTTTTGGCTACAATAAACACCTGTAGTGTACTGGTCGCTGTCTAAACATTATCGTGTATGGTAAGGTATTTTTAGAAAAATTATTTCATTGATTTATTCGAAAAAGTAGCTGAATTTTTATCTTTGGGGTTGTTTACTCAGATTGATTCCGATAATAGAAATAATTCTTTTCTCATTGAGATCAAACCCAGAAAAATTACTAAGATCAAATAACTGCTTTTAATTTTATTAATTTTGTCAAAAACTCGGGATTTTGAAATCTTGAGAATAAGCCATAATATTGAAATAATTTACAAGCTCTTTCATGAAGTTATTTCTCAAAATAAAAATGCGCGCATTGGCAAAAATAAGATTGCAATCGATTATAATCAATTTTTCAACAGATTTTCTACTAGTAAAAAATTGATTGTATGTAACCCAATTAGACACTAAAGTGGATAATATAGGGATTTTATACAGTTCAGAAAAATTAATTTTATAGTCTAGAAAATGTATTTTTTTGCGGTATAAAATCTGTATAGAATCTGTTTAGAATCTGTATAAAATGCATTTTCTAAGGACTCAAAAAAATCTATTATATTGCCTAAAAAATGGATTATATTGTCTAAAAGTTTGATTTTTTTACTCTTAGTAGCATGCTGTTTGAAGAATCAAAACAAAAGTTGAATTCAAACGAAACCACACAAATTAAAGAAGATCATCGACATAAACAATATTCGGTCACAAAAGTATGCAATAAAATCATGAAAATCATCAATATAAACAAGATTTTGGGCAAAAACATATAAAGAAATGAAAAAATGGTCAATATAAATCAGATTTTGACCTCAAAAGTATGCAACAAAAATATTTAAAAACGATCAATGTAAATCAGATATTTAGCAAAAACCAATGTAACATTTAGAGAAAAATGTCGATAAAAATTCGATTATATTCTCCTTTTATCAGAAAAAAAAACTATCAGTTTTGGTCTTGTTTAGATGTTTTTATTTTGTTTTTGTCAATTTTGATCATTTTCAACAAAACAAGACAGGTAACGAAAGATTTTTATGAAATTCAAAATTTTTTCTATAAAATTGAAACGAAATTACAATGGATTTTGTAGGGTATATATTCTGTATGTAATGTGTTTATAATCTGTATAAAACCTATATAATCTGCATCAAAAAATGCACTTAAAAATGGATTTTGGTAACTATCGAATCGATTAGAATAAGTATAAATTGCAATAGATTATAATCGATTTAATAGTTTAAAAAATCCATTACTTAGTGCATAAAAATAAACTAGCTTGCTGAACTGTAGATTTTACTTGCGATAATTGATTGCAATTTTAGTTTTGCCGATGCGGGTGTGAGCAAGATTCATTCAAGCGTGTAAAATTATCCGCATAAGAATTGTTCCAAATTGATTTGAAGCGAGTAAACTGATAACCTTGAGTTCCTAATATGACTCAAATTATAACCAATAGAATTTCAAATCGGCCGTTTGGCGACAACAAACAAAACTTAAATTTATATTAATTATGCCTTTATATTAATTATCTTATCAAAATTATTCGAGATTATTTTAGGGAATTTGCAATATTCAAGACTGTATGCTGATACGAGCAGTCTTTTTCTCCCGATTTGAAATAACAGATCTTTTGCTGAAGTTGATTTGGTAACGAAAGTAACGGAATATTTGTGCTCGGAGTGTTTGTTTTTACTTTAGACAAATGTAAACTTTTTAAGCAGCCATTTTGTCGGAATTTTAAATCATTCAAAAGGTAATTTTATCCTAAGCTTAAATTTGAAAAGATATTTCACCTAAGATCTTTTTTAGTAAATTTATGAGGGTTTAAAGATTTCATTTTGGCGCTATAAACGCGTAAGCCAAGATTTAACCTATCTTAGAAATCGTTCCAAATTGGTTGAAGGAAGCTTATTTGTCATAGTTGATTTGTTAATAGCAGTGAAATTTATGACTTTGTACTGTATATGGCGTGTGGGGGGGATGGTTTTCATAAAAAATCTGAAATTAAAAAAAATTCAAATTTTAATTCATTATTTTAATGTTATTACTGCTCTATAGATCTTGAAATGCAGTCAGAACATTCATGGTTTCGAACTGATACGAGCAGTCTTATTTTCTTCAAACCGTTTTTGGCGGTCAAAATGCTACTTGCTGACGAACAAAAATAAATTCTAACAGAAGTATCGACTTGTAGAGATCGAAAAGTAAAACAATATTTTATATATGGTCGTTTTGGCTAAAAAATGCCAATTTTTGGATTTTTAAATTTACATAAACACTAATTTATGTGCGATTTGATGATTTGAATTTTTACGCGAATTATTTAAGCGTGGCAATTTTTACTGTCCTCAACTTTTACTGTCCTTTCTAAATTGAATTTAGCAAGCCAGTTTTTCTTAACAAATCCTTATACGCCTGAAGTTCATTTACTTATTGTTTAATATTGGTCGGCAATCCAAAATTTAATTTTTACCTATTTTTTTGATCAAAAACTTTTCACGACAAACTAAAGGTCAGTCAGAAAATTCAGGGCTGTGCCCTGACATGATATACGAGCACTCTTTTTTATCTTCTATGCTAATTTTGCTACTTTTTCGATCAATGAGCTAGCATTTAAACACGTATACAAGATCCTACAAAAAATTAACGGCTATTGAAAGTTAATAATTTAAACGATTTTTGATGAATAATAAATCTGGGGCGCGAATGTTTAGCAGACCAATTTTTTCGCAAAAAAGTAAAAAATGAGTCTTTTGGCACAACAACGTAAAAAACTGATGCATGGTTCATTGACAGGCTCAAAAAGACGCTCAGTCTTGGCAAAGCTTCCCCAATTCAGACAATTACCTCAAGATTTGTCAAAATTATATATCAACTTCTAAAACACAAGTCTAAATTAGCGGCAACCAAAGATTTGCGCGCACAATAACACTTTTTCCGAATGAATGCGCAGCGGATCAAGCGGTCGCTAATTGCCAACGACGTGTTTGAAGTTAGCTTTCTGACTTGCTAATTGTTCTGAGTGTGCTAAAAGATTGGTCTGCTAAAAAACCGGTCTGCTAAAATCCCTAGCACCAATAATTTTCTGTGCTCTAGAAATACACAAACCTTTTTTTGTCTGTGCTTTGATTTTTAGCAGCCAAAATTATTGCTTTCAGAGTAGTATTTGTTTTCAGTTTCGGTTTTGCGCTCAAATAATTGTACTTGGTGTATTTATTTCAGACCAATTTCATATTTTTCATACCATCTGAAAAATCTTCAGGCTGTGAGCTGAAATTTTGCAAATTTTTAACCTATGAACTTTGTAAACCCAGCTCAAAAAACTAAATGTCTGGCTTTATTTTAAGTTGAAATGAGGCCAGATGATTGTTTCTTATTCTTCGCTCTTTTTTAAATTTTCATCAATTTTTGAAATCCTGAAATTTTTTCAAAGGCTTCAAATGGCTGTCGGATCATTTTGGGATTCGCCCCGATGCAAGCAGTCTTTTGTTTGCGAGCTTTTGTTTGTACAAAGTTTGATTAAAGAAAAGCTTTTAAAAAACGAGAATATTAGTTCATGAAAAATAGTAAATCATCAAGTTGCTTTCAATATTTTAAACTAGTGTTGTTCCATGATGCGAAAACCAGGTCCAAAAAAAATTTGGTCAAGATCTTAAGATTGCTGGGTAATAGTAATTTGCATTTTCCCTTATATCCCGTCCGACCGATTAACGAACGAACACATTATTACTAAGAACTCAATTTTGTACTGTATATTTTTCGAGTCACAAACATTCTCGTTGTAATTGTTTTTCAAAAATCAAATCGTGTTGTACGTTGTTTGTTATCAAAAAAACCTTGCAAACGAAACAAGTCTCGCTTTTTAAAATTAAAGGTTTCAAACTTTTTAAAAGTAAATTAATACGGTACAAATATTGTAGCAAAAGCAGGGAACGGCTAATATCAATTTAATTTACAAATTAATGCAAATGATTGTAACTATTTGGGCTACTTTTTAACTTAGAAAAGCATAAAACTTCAGCAAAAAATATTTGATATCAGACACAATTGCTATGCGACAAAGGTTATTTTCAAATGAAGTAGCAAAATCAGAACTACAGTCTAATAGTTTTTTGTAAAACGACAAAAATCTTCAGATGGTCGATTCCATAGAGTGACGTTTCGACAACTTCTGGTGGTTCTGACTTTGATCATTCGGCATAATGTTTCCTTGCGTACAATTGACATGGGCATTTATGGGGTTAAAATTGTATTGTGAGAATTGTGATTGTAACTGGTTCCCGAAAGTTACCGAATGTCTGTTTGCACTCGACATCTGAGAACCTGCAACTCCTAGAGAGCTCATCATTACATTGGTTCCCTGGTCGCCATTTTCATTAAGCTCATTTCCTGCTATGAACCTGACATCGCCTTGAAAACTTGGACTTAATGACACTTTTCCAGCGCCGTATGTTGTGTAGTAACCGGATCCTCCTTGAAGTATGTTCGCATTTTGAGGTTGCCCAAAATGAAAACTTTGTCTTTGAACAATTTTTCGATTACTTCGGTTCCCGTTCGCATTCAGATTCGAGTAAAATATTTCCGGTGAAATTGGTGACGCAATTTGACCATTTACATCCCTATTTGGTACTGCGTAAGTCGGCTGGTTATGCAATCCGACATTGGGGTGAAATCGGTGCTGCATCAGTTGGCCCGGATGCCGAGCGTAGTGACTCGCGGCTCCTGAAATTCCTGTCAATTCGGTTGGACAGGATGAATCTTCGCCTGAACTGTTATTTGTCATTTGGGGATAGGGGTATAAAAACTGTCGTTGCCTGTTTGCGTTTCTTTGCAAGGGCAAACTTGTGGTCTCATTGTGGTACTGCGATAAAGGGTAAACATCATTGCATGTGAACGGCCCAGAGCTCCCGACGGGGATCGAAGGGTTGAATCCCCCGTAGATAGCATTAGTCATCGTTCCGTTACTTGAAGGTGAGTAGAGATGTTGCCACCAAGCTTGATTCAAATTTCCATTCGGAGTAAACGCCGCATTTTCTGAGTCATCGGGTGATACCGGACCCTGGACTTCCAGAGTTTTGTCAAATACTGTCAACTGCAATAATGCGCCGAGCTTCTGCGCAATAGCGGTAAAGGTCAAACGTTTGCTGGGAGTTGCGTGCCAGCATTCCTTCATTATATGGTACAATTCATCAGGTGCGTTTTTAGGTTTTCCCATCCTGTATCCGGTTTTGAGAAGGTCAAATAAGTTTTCAACAGGGACACTTGGATACGGATTGCCTCCTAGGGTCAGAATTTCCCACATGGTGACGCCGAAAGACCAGACATCACTTTGAGATGTGTAGACCCGGTCGAACAAGGCCTCAATTGCCATCCATTTAACAGGTAGTCTTCCATCTGTAGTTTTTCGGTAGTACTCAATGTATTGGACATCTCTCGCCAGTCCGAAGTCGGCTATTTTCATGACGTAATCAGACGCTACTAGAATATTCCTCGCAGCCAAATCTCGATGAACACATCTCTTTTGCTCCAAGTATTCCATGCCTTTTGCAATTTGGTATGCATATGAAATCAGGTCTCGGTATCTTAACGATCTTAATTTTTCGGAGCTCGTCGAAATACTTAGCACACCTGAGTCTTTGCAAGTGTCTTCGGTAGCTTTTCCCTCGGCAATTCGCTGCTCGTGGAATTGACTTCCAGGTCTTCGTTCTCGTAAGAACTCCCGAAGATTCCCATGCTTGGCGTACTCTACAACAACCCATAAAGGCCCGTCACGTGAACAAACTCCCAGAAGATTGATAATATTCTCGTGACTTCCGATGTTTTTCATGACTTGGGTTTCCGAGAGCAGATCCATTAGTTCGCGTTCGGTTCCGTCTTCGCGAAGCATTTTGATGGCAACTTGAGTTTGCTTCTCATCTCCGAAAAGGCTGTCGGCAACTCCAAGCATCACTTTTCCGAAAGCACCTGAGCCCAGTTCCTGGAGTATCTCCAGCTTCGCTCTCGGAAACTCCCAGTACTCGTCAACTGGCACCTGGATTGAGGGTCGGTTACCCTGATTCAAAAAATTTGCCATGCTCCAGAGGTTGTAGAGCGGGTTCTGTTGTTGGTCGATTGCAAGGACACTCGGGTAGGCAGAGGAGTTTGGATCCCCTCGAGAGGTCTGGGTTGTGAGAGACTGTTTATTGTGGGGATCTCCAAGAGTCGTTCCCAGACTGGCTATGAGAGGCAGGGAGCTACAACATGACATTTATTAGTTTAATGCCATTACAGAAGATAAAAATTTATTACAGAATATTTAAAGCTTGAATATTGTAATCTTCGATAAGGATATTCTTGATTTAATCTATTCAGAAGTAGTTTCCCTAGTATGTCTTTCCTAAAATATTGCACGATTTTGGCTTATTAACAAGGTGAGCTTTTCGACTAGAAGATTATACTGACTTGTTTCGGATGTTTCCGAGAGAGGAAGGCCACGACTCAGCCAACCGGGATCCTGTCTCGCTGTTCTGCATACGCCGGAACTGCCGGTTGTGCCTGCCTCTCGTCCTTCCGCGATTCAACATCCCAAACGGCTCATTCGCAAGTCCCCCTCTCTTTTTACCCCTCCCGTTAAAAAATTTTATCGCACATTTATATAGAATTAGTAAGAGTAATACTCCAATTATAACACATATGATGACGTAAAATAGCATTGATCTGGTCACGTCTTCAAAGAATCCGTTTTGTTCAGGGGTGACCAAAATAATATCAGTTGTCGCTTTCGCTTCTGTAGTCGTCGCCTTGGCTTTCAAGACTGTAATGTGAAACTCCTTCAAGTCGTAACCGTACGAGTTGTTAACAATCGCGTAGTAGGTTCCATTATGCTTCATTGTGACATTTTGAATGTAGAGTTGTAAATTGTCTTTCTTGATGTAGGAGTCGTTCATCCAAGGAACCGACCAGTAAGCTGAAAAGTGTGGATGGTAAATATGGGTTTCAATTTCACCGCAGTCGATTGTTAACGGCTTTCCTTCTTCTGCTTCCTGGTCTTTGCAGTTTTCGCTCAAAAATCCGTACATCTTCGGTTTCAAAGAAGTTCTCGTGTTTCCGTGGCTGACGAGACAACCTGCCAGCTTTGAACTATTCTGACCCGGAAACGTGCACCAATAACATCCCGAGTGCTCCGACTCAACGTAATTCGGAATTACAAGCATTGAAGTATTGCGTAGCAATCTGTCCATTTCGACCGTGGAGTTAGGATCTACTTGGCTCACGTATGGTGTCTTGAAGGAGGCTTGAGATTTTTCAGGGCCTCTGATTTGGGTTGGTAAGTCCATGGACTTGTTGTTGTGGAACCATTGAACGGTTTGTGCATTCTGAGAATCAGGACAGCATTTGATGTCTACGACTGAAATAAAAAATTCAGTTTCGTTTCTATAAATGTGAAGAAAAAACGAAATTTAAGGATATTTACTGAAATGCTTGATAAAAGATATCAAGTGGGATGTCATTTACCTTCAAGGTTGATTTCCATGTTTTTTACAAACCCTAAATCAGCATTGATCAATCTGTGCCCGGGTTGACCAAAAATGCTTATCATACAATTCTCATAAATGGGAAATTTCTTTTCATACAATTCCATACAATTCCATACAATTCCAAACAATTCCATACAATTCCATAAATTCCATAAATTCCATAAAAATCCATACAATTCCATACACACTGAAAATGGTATAAACACTATGATAAATGAATTCATGAATTTAATTTTGCACCTCAGTGGGAACTTAAAGTAGATCATTATCTTGTAGCGAAACTCGAAAAATGTGAACCTTTTTTTGGTTCAAATTCGCAAAACAAGGTTTACTTTGGTTCACTTTCGCAAAACAACGGACATTTGCAGCTAAGATCAACAATGATAATCATTGATGAACCATTGGATTAGTTCCTTTTAGGAGCCAGAGTTCGTAGCTAGCAATAGCAAGGTGGGGAGCGGGGGGGGGGGGGGTTTATAGAAGAGACATTAAAGAAATAATAGTTATGACAAAACTTTCTCTGAACTCACAGACACGATCCTTCTTGTCCTGTGGGAATAAGTGTCGCCCTGTTTTGTGCCAAAAGTGTTCACATATGGTGTCGTGCTTCTCTATTATTTCACGCACCAAAGAATTCTCCGGCATCGGCAGTTGCATCAGCAACCCCTCTCCACAAGTAAACAAAGGAAACAAAAACAACCACAATCGTAATTTGGATACAGAATTGAGTTCATTTTTCGACATTTTCGATCGAAATAATTAGGTTTTGAAAGAGATGTAATAATTTTATGTTTATTTTTGGAAAGAGTTTATGATTAATCAAGGCTAGATTTTCATCATTTCCATTCAAAACTGGGTTTATCTGGCCTGTTTTGGGTATTTAGAAAAGTAAATATAACTAGGTTGCTTTTCAGGTGGTAGTGGTTAAATTTAGATAGGTAAAACCAGGTAATAGATATGGAATGAGTTGCTATGTGGCGGGCGACTGGTTTTTGAAGTTTGGTGCTTCTAATTTGAATTACTTCTGAGGCTTGGAGTGGTAACAACTTTCCGGAGATTAAAGCCGATTAAAAATGTCTCAAACGTGCTACTTAACCAGCACTGTGCTAGCACTCACGGTAAAGTTTACCTGTAATCGCAATAGTTAATCAGAAAACTTCGCCAAATGAAACCAAACGATCCAATTTAGCCGCGAAATAACAAAACGAGTCCCGCAATTACAAGATATCACAACGATTAACCGCAACAACGAAGTAAGGGGGGGGGGGGGGGATTGCTATAGCTTCGAATATAAGTCATAAAGGCATATGCTCTAATTTATCCAGCGATTTTGTTTGAAACCCAAAATTGTTCTTTTTATATGAACTTTTTATATATTTTTTTCGAAATCGATTTTTCTTAGCTATGACGCATGGCTTCTCATTTTTGGTAAAATTTCCGGGGAATAATTTTAGGTTTAGAAAACAGGGCAAAAATACAAGTTAGTTGCAATTTAGATAAGGGGACAGTACAAATTGTTGAGGGCAAATAAGCGGAATTAATGGGCGAGAAACAAAGGAACTGAGAAATAAAAACAATTCGACGACTGCCTATTTCGGGTACAGTGTTAAATACAGTCTAGTGTCGCTTTAACAGCGCAAAAGCAGGGTGCCAAGAAAAGTAAGTACTCATTAGCGGCAAATGTTTGGTAAAACATGCCAACTTTCTGCTCAAAAGACAAGATTGGAGCTGAAAACAAGTTTTGCGACCGTCTCCGTGAATCGAACACAAGTTTGAGCTGCTTAGTCGCTTTTTGTCACTCACGCTTTTTAGTCCAATTCAGAACAATTTAGGCGCTGGAATGATTTAAGTAAGTGGAACCACATGTTCCAAAATTGCCCCAATTTCTGCCCCAAAGGAGAGGAAAAAGCGCAAGTTTGGGAGCAGAAAGGCGCAATAAATTCCCAATTAAGAGTAAGCGCTAACTAAACAAGACCTCAGGGGAAACGGACTTCTGCGTAGGGCTGCTCTAAATCCAGAAGAAAGCAATCGAATCCAAAGAAACCTTCTGATTCTTCCTGTCTTTCAGAAGACTCTTTCGCAGATTTCCGGAGGTGCTATTCAAAAGACCCTGCGCATTTCCCTGGCTCTGCATGCCAGATTGACGTTGCGAATTGGTTTAATGCAAGATAAACAACAAAACAACGACGAAGATAAAGTTTCGGATCGGCAGGGAAAGCGTATACAAAGCCAGCGATAGAAAAGTAAATTCAGACATTCACAAGTGTATCTTAAGCACAACTAACAAGTACCCCGAAGTTTTGATTTTTTTTTTGCATGGCGCCTAATATTGATTGATTGATTAAATAAAAATACTTAAAATTTCAGTTGTCAGTTTTTCACCAAACTTGAATGGCACATATTTAAGTTTATTGAATTATCTAGCACACTCTTAATTGAGACAAGTTTCGGCTATTTTAAAATTTTTTCCTCTTTATCAGCATCTGAATTAGGAATTAGACCCTTTTAATTGACATTTTTTACATATGTTTTCAACAAGCGATACAAATTGCATTTGCAATTATTATCATAAATTTGAGTTAGGACTGGAGTGTAACTCATAGAGTAATTTCGGATAGGGTACACCGTCTGCTCGTCACGCTATCTTATTTTCGGCCGGATAGATTCGTGCAACTTCTTAGTCTAATACCGATCCTAATCTTACTCTTATACTATCTAGTCTCAGGTTGTTTAACTAGTCTCTGCTAGGCTCAATAGATCTAGGGTATACTGGTTTATTGCGGCTGCTGAAGTGCTCGGGAGAGTCCAACTAATTTCTAAGTTAAATTCAAATCTCTCTGGTGCTGAAATTACAAGTAACTTCAGCACTTACAAATAAGTGGGTTGTTAGTTAGATGGATCATGATTGGTTAATATTAAATACTTTACATTGGTAAAACATTTAATTTATCCAATCATAAAATATAGTTTAGATCAGGTTCCACCCATCCGGGTTTTACAGAGTTTTTTAGAACAGTTCTTTTGTAGTTCAAGGATGGATGATGGACGTTGGTATTTGGCGAACATCATTTTTCTTTTGTTTCCTTTTTGTTAAGGAAGTTCCAGGGATCTGGAATTGAGGACACAAGACGTTGTGTTCTTCTTGTGACAACGACTGAGTCTCTGCAACAGCATCAATTCTGGTTTCAGAATGGTTGGCTATGTCAGGTTTTTCTGTTCTTCGGAGAGAACTTCTTTTGTGTTTGATCTAGCTCGGGAATGGCGTGGAGATTGTGCGTGGAGGGGATGCCTGGTTACTCGGATCTGTACGTATACTTGAACATCGAGGTGGTCATTGGTCTAGTTCAATGAAGTCCTTTTCTGCGAGGTCAAGTCGTACTCTAAATCCTTTGAGTTGTGATTGTGAGCGGCATATCGATTATAGTTGGTCATTCTCTCTCGAGTGTAGTGAGGTCGTCTTGTCTTTTGATGTTCGTCCTTGGTGTTGTATTCTGATCTATATATTGCATCATGTGATTTTACATTTTATAAAACTTTTATTAATTTAATATTTTTTAATTATGATTTTAGTTAGTTGTTTTCACAAAAGCTTTTTGTTTTAGTTCGGTTATTTTGAAGAGTTACTCACCCTTGAGTAGCTCTTATTAAAAATAAAGGTGTGGTCACAAAGCGTGGATGTAGCACGGTGGGTTAGGCCGGCTATAGAGCATGCTCAGGACGTCCTTTCCTGGTGGGTTAGGCCAGGTGTGGGAGTATGATTTCATGCGGTTTTTATGAGGGGTCCTGTTATGTGACAACATTTTATGTTGGGTTTGTTGTGGTTTTACTTATGTTTTGTTGGTTATGTACTTTTTCCAAAAAGCAAATTGTTTGTGGTATGGGTTTGTCTTTTGACTTTTTTGTGTTTTATTATTTCTTTCTAAGACTTTGTAATAGTCTTCAAAAGAATAAATTATCCAGTTTTAAACTGGGTTAATCCGGTTTGGGTACCGTTGGTTTCCTTTTCTTAGTCATGCTGTTATTTTATGATTTGTGGTATTTAGTAAGCTGCGTTGGTTAGTTTTGTTTAGTATATGATTCCTTTCCAACCGGGTTAAAGGAAAGTTTGAAACTTGTTATTATTTGTTAGAGTTGTTGAGTGTGAAAACTTGAAACTGAAATTCATTATTTTAAACAATTCTTCGTGGGCGAGCTGTGCGAGTGTGGATAGAATTTCTGTGCGAATGAATGAAAATATCAAAAGGTTAGTACTGCAATTGCATTTTATTAATTTACTGCATAGAATTTGGAAATTTACTGCTAGTAATGGGGGACTTTTAAGATACAAATTTTCATCATATGTAGATTTACTGCTTTTAGGGGAAAATTTTATAAATTAATTTACTGCATTGGTATTATATTTATTTAATTGTTGGTGCAAAAGTTAAATAGGGTTTTAAATAGTTTTGAAGAAGTTTGCTATTTTTTATTTTTCTTTTGTGAATTTTTCAGATGATTGAAGATGAAGGCTAAAAATCTAAAGAAAACATGAATAAGGAATGGTGAGTTTTTCAATATTTTAATTAGTTAGTAATATTCATTTAGTTCATACTTACCTGTTAGTCGTCGGGGAAAAAACCGTGGGGGAAGATATCGTGAATTAGTTCTGAAGTTGTTAGTAGTTTAGCGAAGATGCGGATGATATTTTTAGTTTGAAGTAGTGGCCAAAGCAATTGAAGTGCCTTAATAGTGGTTAGCTCTTCAGTGCCTACTGCAAACTCATAAGGTGTGTTTTGGATTAAGTTATATAACTTGTGGTTAAATTTAGTGTTGTGGATGAATTCTAAAATGGGGATTTCTATAGGCTGTACAAACTCGTGCGGGATAAGGAAGGGTCGGGATTCTTCTGCGTTGAAGGTCTTGGTGATGGGGCAGAAAATATACATTTGGGTTATGGGGTCATAATTACGAAGAATACCATGAAGGTTAGTATTTTTAATACAATATGTGAAATTTAGGAAATACGGTGAAGTGTATTTTGAATTGATGAATTGAAAGCGATGGTGTGGTTGTCTAGAGGGTGTGTGGAGGTCAAAGTGATTTTGGATGAAACGATAGTAACTGTATGTATGTGTTTGTTTAGTTCGCAACATAATATCGTGTGAGCAGTGTAAATCTCTTTCGTGTGGTGCAAGGAAATGAAAGGTTAGTGAAAAGATTTGGAAGCGTTCTTTAAAACTTTCGTACGCTTGTGTGCTTGTGAGTGCTTCTGAAATAATGTGATCAAACTTTCGGTCGAAGATGTTTAGTGTAAATACATATGGTGTCTTGATGAAAAATTTCTCGGTGATTTGTGGGTTAGCGAAGCGATCGTCGTCTAAGAATTGATCTTGGTTAGCTCTGATGATGTTGTGATCATAGTATTCTAGTGTGTATTCGTTAGCTCTAGGTGCAGTGTGTATTTTTAGTGATTTTTTATATCCAACGTAAGTAAATTGTCTAGCGGTGAGTGGTGTAGTTAGTCGATATAGCATGTCTTTGTTTCGGTCTATATCAATGGATGTGTTAGTTAAAGGTAAGCAAAGAGGGTTAGTGAAATGATAGTATGAGGTCCAAGAGAGAGTGGGCATTAAAACGTATTCGTCTACAAAGTTGCGTGTTTCGTTAGCGTCATGAGGGGTGTTTAAGGTGTATTGTGGAAATGAGGGTAAAGTGATGGCTAAAAATTCTCTAGTGTTAGTATGTTGGGGGTGGTTGATGTATTCTCGGGCTGTTCCTGGTTTTGCTGGGAAAGGATGGTTGGGGAACTTTCTTTTAAAAGTGCGATAAGCTCTATTAGTGTTGAGTGAGGATTCAGTTGATGTGGATGATGGTGCTAATGATTCGGTATAATTTGAAGAGGGTGTAGGGGGATTGGATGAATTTGTAGTGGAGGAGATTTGGTTTATGGTCGGGGTGTTAAGGTGGTAGGGTTGTTGTTGGAGGGTAATAAAATTGTCTAGCTCTGGGGAGATTCGGGGGGTGTCTGGAGATGATTGGTCAGAATGGTATGAGGAGTAGGTTGGGGTAACTTGGGAAGCATAAGAGGGTGTAGGAGTGATTGGGTCAGGGTTATTTGATAATATGGGTTGAAAAGGAGGTTGAGAAAAATGAGAAGGGTTATGAAAATTATTGGATGGAGATGGTTCTGAGTCGGCAAATTCGTCGGGGGTTTCAATATTCGGGTTATTTAGCTGTGAAATGGAGTATAAAACTGAAATTTGTGAGTTAGTGTCGGAATTCATGCCTGATGTTACATTGCTAGATGGAAAATCGGGTGGCGGAAAAGCAAAAAGTGGTATTATTGGGATTGAAGAGGTAAGGTTGGTTGGATGGGAATTTGATCGATGGAGTGATCCAAGTTGGCGGCTCATCGTGGGCTAAAAAAATTATTATTTTGAGATTGAAAAGCGGTGGTATGGGGCTGTTCAATAATTTGTTCATAAGTATTATCATCTTGTGATGGATGTGTCATTATATGTTGGACGGGACTTTGTGATGTGGTGAGTCGAAAATTTGGATTATGTGTGATTGCTAAATTTCTAAAATTTCGCGGGGCTAGGGATAGTGGATGGTTATTTGGTAGGGGTGGTAATTGTGGTGCCGTTGGCTGTGTGTCGACATTGTTATGTTCTTCGTCGTATGTATTTTGTCGTGTTGTTATTTTTGTGTTATATTCTTTTATTTGTGCGTCTAAAAGAATTTTCTTTATAGATGTGGAAAAAATTCCAAAAAATCCTGCAAAGAGTATGCGTGCTACGCTTGCTTGTCTGTTTACTTGTGTGTGTATAGCACATGTATTGTAGATTCCTTTTAAGAGTGAGAAAAGAAATCCAATAAAGTTAAACATTGCGTATAAAATAGTCAATTTTTCTAAGATGTAGTAGGGCCATCCTAGAAAATCTAGGATCTCATTTTTGAGTGTAACAAAGCTAAAAATGTTAATTGGTGATATATCTTGGGGACGGTATTTTTCGCCGTTTAGATATATATAATCTTTTATGTCTTTAAAATATCCGCTATAGTCTTGCGTGTAGATATCGGCAAATCCTGCGGTTTCTGCAAGTTTGCGTAAGTTTTGGTCTATTGATTGTCTTTGTATAGTGTCCATTTGTGTTAATAATTCGTGGAATTGTTGTGTTCTAATGTGATGTTGAATATCTGATTTTGAATAGATTCCTATTGATTGTAAGTCTATATTTGGGTTTCGAGCAATAGCGCGAATGCTTTCTGGTGAAAATTTTTTGAGTGATTGCATTAATGT